GGGGTTAATACTTGTTATTTGATTTTGCCAATAACATGGCCAATAACTATACCACTCATAACACACAGTAGCATTGACTGTTTTCGGATAAGATGTCTTTGTCCAACCTGGAGCACGTATGTCACAGCGATATGCACCTGGCGGTGATGCAGATATTTGTGTGTCGCCAGGTGAAATGAAACGAACATATGTCGCAGAACTGCTGAACACGTATTGATCACAGGTTACATTTAAAATGAACGTTGGTAAACGCGTGGAATCATTGTTTGTTACGTGATTCGTGCACTGCCATGGAAGGTTAACCCTCGACTGAGTGTAACCTGAAAGTACGGTGAGTTAGGTAAATGCATTAAATTGTAAGAGTAAAAATTGAACATAGCTTTACAGAGTTGCTTTCGCTTTTACTATCAAAACTCTAGAATATCTTCCTACCTCGAAGAGACGCAGACAGTTTACGTCCCTGGACTGCTGGATGATAATGCTTAGGCATGCAACGGTAACGATTATCGGTCCTTATCGATAAAACTCTTCTACGGGTTACCGTTTAAGCAGTTAGTGGCTCGTGCTATCGGATACGCATTTTTCTAGTTCTTTTTTCTTTTCTGTGTACCGTTATCACTTATATACGCCGTGTTTGAACGATGGGAAAGAAATGAAAACACTATTGAAATCTACTCTATTAACTCTTTCAGCTGATAAAATATCAGGAGAAAAGCATTGGCTTTGATCGTCCTTTGGAAGGTTACACTGTAAAAGTCTTCAACTTTTTCACATTTGTAAGAAGACGAAAGCCTTGAGACTCTTTACGGTAGTTCTTTTTATGAAATTTGGATTAAAACTGACTGAGCTATGAAGAATAAATTGACCATATATGTGTTGAATCTCTATAGATATTTTATTTGCTAGTTCTCTGATATAAAGAAAAGAAAAAAAGAGAAAGGATAAATAAAGAACGTTAGCTGAGAGCATGAGTTTATTCTCAATACAAACTCACTTTCTCTATTCTGATTTTGCTTTCGTTTGATTCTTACTTGTTAGAGTTGTAGTTGTAGTCAGTCGAGCTAAGAAAGAGAGAGAGAAAAAAAGTGGATGTTTGATGGGAGTACTAAACTGTGAAAGTCATCGGTTGCCGCAATAAGTACAAACTTATGAGCTTGTCCTGTAGATTGGTCAAAGAACGGGTCTTTTCTGGCTCTACTTCATGCAACTTAGAATGACTCACAATGCGGCTAACTGAAGTCTTTTCCAAGCAGCACCAGGCAGATTTTTGTTTCTCGTTTTTCTTTTCAGAATTCTGCCTAAACCCTGTTATAGCTGCACTTCCGCATCAGTTTCCATAGACGAATTCTCTCTCTTACTTGTGGATGATGTTCTTGCTGTCGTTATGGTTGTCGTTGTCGTTCTCAGAGTACTTAAAACAGAATAAATATCTTTGAGTTTATCTACAAATGACCGAAGGAAAACTACTCTGTAACTCACCGTTATCATAGACTTATCCATTGTACGTTACAACGGTTGAATACGGTCCAAACAATGTTAAACGGCCAGTGGCACCAAACTGTACACTATCCACAATCACCGATACTTGCAGATAATAAATGAACAGATAACATGGTCTCTGACTCAGAAACATACCAGCATTGTACAAAATAACTGATGAATTTACATTTGAATAAATTCCACTACGATTGGCTGTTGCATCTTGCAGCAGACCACCATTATATATGTAGATATTGATGGAATAGACAAATACGAAGCCATTGCCACCACCACCAATTGTCAGGCGGCCAAAGATAATGATAGTAACAACGTTGATGGATAGCTGATTCGTTCCATTGAGAGTAACGACAACATCAGACGGGATAATGATAGTGCAACCATCACCAGGTAAGAAGAGACCACCCCCCTGAACTGCCGGAGAAACTGTCGGACCAGATGACTTTTTGAGTGCCATTTGCTAGTAAAAGGAAAGTCATGCAGAAGAGCGATTAGAAGAGTAGTGGTTGGCACTTACTTGGAACTGGAGCTTGTGTGGTAGTTGATGTTGTAACGGAAGCGAGTGTTGTCGTAGCTATTGAAGAACAAAGGATGCTCACTGTAGTACAAAGTGAGTTAAAGTCAGAAGAATAACTTACTTATACTTTTGATAGCAGGACATAGTTGTATGTTCGCTAAAACCAGAGGATAACAGACTGGTTGTTGACATCTAGTAGTGTTGACACAGATTGTATTAGCAATAGAACACGTTACATTGTCTGAATTGCAACGTAAGAAACTTGAACATGTTCGGCCAGCTATAGCAGAGATGCCTGATGTAGTATTGAGGATTGTTCATATATTGAATTAAATGAGATTAAAACGTGATAAAAGCTCATCCAGTTCGTTTAGTAACAGAAACGCGTCCACTTGATATATGGACAGAGCCTTGCTTGTCAGTGCGAAGCATTCACAATCGACATTGGACGAACATGGGGGTGGTTTGAATTACAATTGGCCGAAATTGCTCTTGTAGGTGGAACTAGGTTAAAAGCAAAATAGTTTCCAGCCTCAACAGCAGAAGGGTAATTCCATGGGTCACCTGCCTGTTATTGTTTGTTGCCAATAGTACTAGTCGCTAAGAAAAATGAAAAACAGGCAAAATCAACGAAGTTCAGTTTCGTGGCACGAAGCTCACTTCACTTTAACACTTGCGTCTCGAGTTTGCCAGATCCGCTAACTATTCTCCTGATCAATTTTCCTCAAGATCGATTTAGAGCGGGTTCATAGGGGAATTGCAGAGAGGTTTTTCGTACGCAAAGTCTCAAGTCATCCTCGTATTTGCTGTTCGATAAAAATACAGTTATGAATCCAGTCACACTGTACCATTTCGCCATATTAAAGGAAGCCTACACACTATTACAACATGATACTTACATGATGTGAGTATCCATCAAAATATCTTATCGTATATCTTATAGTGTGTAGGCTTCCGTTAATATAGTGGAAATGGTACAGTGTGACTGGATTCATAACTGTATTTTTATCCAACAACAAATACGAGGATGACTTGAGGCTTTGCATGCGAAAAAACTTTCTTATATCTTAACACACTATAAAAACTAAAAATAATAATAACTAAAAATCGCACTATTACAAAATAATACTCACGTGACTAGCAAGAAATAAGCTAAAGACACGATGATAGCGTCCATTGTCAGTACCATATCTGTGTTTTTCGAAAATCAGAATAATTCTTGTTCCCCAAATTGTTTTCAATCTCTTTCGTCTTTTAACTTTTAGAATACATGTTATTTCATAATGAAGAGCTTTCACAACTCTCTGTTGAAAGTAGGAAATGTTGTGTTTTTTTCGTTCCATTATTATTGTTATTTTGATATTTCAAAAATAACAAGACGATGACAAGAAAATGTGTTTACAGAATCATATGTCGTTTTTTATTTTTGTTGTTTTTATATTGTTACGAAGTTACTCTTTTCATTTTTAAATCATTTAGAAACCTTTTTACCTATTCACACAAAAAATAAAGGAAGTAAACGAATTTTGGAATTCACCGTCACTTTAGCGAGAAAATAAAACTGAAAGTAATTATACACCTCGATGGATACAGCACCATTCGTTTGAAATATATAGTGAACCAGACTGCTGTGAACTTAAGTTGAGTAAGCGAAAAACGCAGATTGATTATAGATCATAGACTATTCAACGATTGACACTAAGAACATGCATATTACGAATTTAATCATTGTGACTCGTTCTTTCTGAAACGAGAAATAGGACACTAGATAATTCTTGCACGAGAAGAAGATGATGAAGGGACTTCGCACCTTCAAAGGTCAGTTTTTGTGGTGTCAGAAGATATCAAAAATGAAAATCGAGAAATTTTGTCCCTTATACAGATGAAAGATGAATTTTCTCTAGAGCTCGCCTCTCAAGGCGATCTTTAAGTTACCTAACTTTTAACCTCCAAAATTAGGCTTTTAAAACTGAAAGATAGCTTTCTAATCGGGGTTTTCTCTTCTCTTTTGGGTCAAAATTAATGAATCATTTCATTCTTAGTCTTTATTACTGTTTATATTTTTCCGACACAAAAAACATTCGTCTCTAGCTACCAAGGAAGCTAGAATACATCGAATGCCCTAAAACTATGTCCACCATTTTAGTAGCGACATTACCTGAAGAATGAAAGAAACCTGGCCGCTGCTACGATAATTTTGGAGAATTATTAGTATCCTGTAATGTAACATTTTATCAGTATCTTTTCATTCGATATTTGGCTAGATTGTATCGCTTTCCAGAAGTTTCTGCTTGAAAATGGGTTAAAAGTGAAAGAGATGACTTTGCCAATACGATTGCACTCGAAAAAATTACTTGTACCCGCTTCATGACTTATATTTTTCAGACCAGCTTGTAAAGAAAGTGAAACTGCATATAGTCTGAAATGTTTTCTGCAAACGAACTTGTTTTGACAGAGTTACGGCTTTTATAAGTTAATAGGCCACCTATTGGTATGAATTTTTGTAGAACTTTTTAAGCAACGATTTATGCGCAATTTTTGTGTAGTTCGACAGAGAAACCCAAGCTGTATGCTGGGCTAAACATCTAAGTTTCATAATTTTCGGAAAGATCATTTTACCGATACTCTTTCATCTAATGCAAAAACCGATTATTTCATCTTGTGTCGCTTTATCACTTATTTGTTAAAAGTCGTCTAAAAAAAGTGTCTACCATCCTCGAACTGACAATACCAACATTTCGTGATATCAAAAAGTGATGCAAAATCAATTCATAACTCAACGCTGCTAAGTACTAATACATATTGATCCATTTGAATATGAAAAGGCTGCTACGGAGATATCGTGATTTAAGACGCTAATCCAATTAATATGACATATTTTTATTTACTAAATTTTGTTTAAGATTTTTCTTACAAGGCCAAAAAGTGAAAAATTTGAATAAAGTTTAATAAAATAGAATAAAATAGCAAAAAGGTTGTTAACCTGTTAATTCTGAGTTTGGTATACGATTCTGTATTTGTGCTCTTGAGATTCGCTGGCTGATAATGTAAAATTGGCATTTATGTTTGATCCAACTTGTTTAAAATTGCTGTTATTATCAACAGCTTGAAAAATATAATTTAGAGATCCAGTAAGCTGTTGAGTATATTCAATTCTAATCGTTCGACCTTTGAAATTTTCCAATTTCAGGTTAATCAAATACGTCTGCTTAGTAGATTTTTGATATTGTGAAATAAGAATATTGTCGGAGATTGGTTTACTCGATTCATTAGCTAACAGCGTGACTGTTTCACTATATGTTACATCATAGTCTTTACCAAGTGCAAATGCATATGTATTATTAGCTGTTTGATCAGGCCATAGGGTTTCACCAACGAGACGATTATTCTCACGAACAAAAGCATTTCCTTTTGGTAGAAATTGATCGCTTTTCAAACGGTACATCCTTTCAGGATTTCCAGCATTATTTGTCTGTTGGAAATATTTTTCGATAGATACGTAACGCTCAACTTCAATAGTTGGACGAACCATCGGTAAAATATAATTCGTATTTGCTTCTATTGCAAATGGTTTAGATATTTTAAACACGTAAATGCCTTGCAGTTCTTGTCCCAGTGAAACACTAGGCGGTGGCGCATTGTACTCAGGTCTAGCATTTATATCTGCTGACTCTCCATTCGCATACCCATTCTTGAAGTAGGATGGTGCCTTTATTGTGATATCTCCTCCAAACAACTCGGCGTCATCTACACGAATGGTATTCACACCACTATTTTGCATATCGGCATAACCAATGAGCGTCGTTCCATGTTCGTCATTGTCTTCTAACAATAGATCATAGTAGGCTTGCCATTTCAGTTGATTATTAATCATTTGTAAATACAAATATTCATCACGCAAGGTTTCAAACGTAAAATCAACCATATATTTGGCTGTTGGTGGAATGTCAAAATACTTTATTCTCTCGTTGTCACCAATAATAAAGTATGTTCCGTCTTTGAGATCTTTAACAAGATTTATTTTATCATCGATCATCAGAACTTCAATTGTCTGAGAACAGTTACTTTGACAAATGAGTACTTTATGACCGTTGAGTGATGTCTTCTCTTGTTTTATTATTTGAGATGTTATTTGTATGTATCTGCCACTTAATCGAATTGTTTCCGGACGTATTTGACTCCATTCGTCGTTTGAAAATGCAACAGGTAGTTGAAACGGAGCGATTTTGTAAGCAATTTCAGCCGAATTCAAATAGAGTTTAGCTATGACTGATGTCTTGTTTGTGATCGATGAAAAATCTTCACATGTTACAATAGTTGTAAGAAAGAAGAGATAGAATATTGACGTGAGCATGTTCGAACAGGCACAAGTATTCTGTTAAATGCTGATTTTGTTTTGGTATGAACGAAGGACAAAGATTAAATACTCATGACTGGTCGTAGGATATGAGATGTCATTTAGAATGTTAAATGGAGTGGAGCGATTGTATATTTTTTTACGTAAAAAAGTAGTGAGGAATAGACTAAAAATAGACTTCTGCCACTCGAGATTTTATTCATATTATACCAAGATAAAACGCATAATTTATACTAAATTTTCGCTTTATTTACTGAAAAAGGTAACATTATTCAAAAATAGTTTACAGGTCAATTTAGTATTTACCTTACCATGAAGTAGTTTCCTTTCTTTTGTAAAGCAAACAAACGACAATAAGAAAAGAAAAATTTCAGCATAAAGTTTCTATGATATCATGGTTCGGTGCTGTTTTCTGTTTCGAAATGGCTCGATGAAGAAAATGCGAGTTCAAGACAAAAGCTGTTTTCTTGAAGAAGTCATACTGATGAGCAGAAAATTGATCTGTAGCCGTTCGTCATCTAATTCGTTTTTTTTTCTTCTAATATGAATGCTCGTATACCGTACAATACGGAAAATAAATTGTGATATATCTTACTTAATACCACTCTAATCTCTGGTATTTTTATATTAGGCCCCTAGTGTTCGAATGCATATATCTGAGATATATCTCTCTTGAGATTTGCTTCACATTCGTCACATGTTTTTTTCAGAGGGAGGGGGAGAGAGAATAATCAATGGTCCGCAAACTGTTTCTTGTATTTCTTGCAAGATTCTTGTCTTTTGTCATTTCAGACAGGAATATTTAAGTTTGTCTTGATAAATCAGATAAAATTCGTGCTTTAACTTTTTCTACACTTGTAAAAGAACCATTGTTTTTTACACAAAACAATTTACAAATCAAAAAGAAAGAAGGTAATATGTGCTATATGTTGAACAAAAGAAACTGTTTTTAAGTGAGACATAGGGAAGGAAAAAGAGAGAATAAGTAAATATGGCAGTTTTTCTAGTACTACTCTGAGTATTTTTGGTTCTTGGTTACTACATATGCATATTGTTGATAAACTGGAGAAAATTTTAGTTAGACCAGTAGCTGGCTGTCTAGTAAGACTTACTCTAGAAAAAGGTTAAAAGTCTCAAATAAAGGGAGTATAAAATTAATCATCTAAAACTGAAAAGAAAATAGCCGGTAGTTTTTCGATATTTCGATTGCGCTTATATACTCGGCTGACCACAAAACAAAATGGTGAATGATTAGTTGTTAGTATTACTTTTCTCACAATGGAACGGTTTACTGTCAAGCCGCTTTCAAGTTCGGAGCATGTGTATTAGATAGACCCCGGTGAGGTATAAAAAATCCCAAAAGGCTATGTGCTGATGGGCCTTCCCTTCAGAGTTACAGTCATTATACTGGAATTTTAGCCTATTACATGGTATCTGTCAAAAACACTAATCACGATATTTCGACCTGACATTTTGCCCACAAGTAGGCCTACTTGTAACTAGAATGTTCTGCAAATTTCAGTTCAAAAGAATGTTCCCTTCATAAGATATTGAGTTTCCCAAAAACCTGATATTCTCCAATCTTTTCGTAGAACATGAGTGATTTTGGAAATTCAATATCTCAAGAACGAAACATTCTTTTGAACTGAAATTTGCAGAACATTCTAGTTACAAGTAGGCCTACTTGTGGGCAAAATGTCAGGTCGAAATATCGTGATTAGTGTTTTTGGCAGATACCATGTAATAGACTAAAATTCCAGTATAATGACTGTAACTCTGAAGGGAAGGCCCATCAGCACATAGCCTTTTGGGATTTTTTTATACCTCACCGGGGTCTATCTAATACACATGCTCCGAACTTGAAAGCGGCTTGACAGTACAAATCGTTCCATTGTCAGGCGAAAAATCTTGAATGCCGATCTTGATAAATCTTTAAAGATTTCTCAAGTTTCGTCCAAGATCTTTCAAGAACTTCTGTAGATTTATCGAAATCTTTGAAGATTCTAAATGAAAAGCAGTGCTACAAGTTTTGCATCAGAATCTGTCTTGATAAATCTTGAGCAGATCTGGTCAAGATATTTCAAGGATTCTAAAATGATTAATTTAATAAGCAATAATCAGAATCATCATTAACAGATTCTGGAATATGAAAGAAAATCTTAAACTTTATTTCGATTTCATATCTTCATTTTTTCTACTGTATGAATATATAGGTGTTCGCATGACAGTCGTTTTAGTGAAACCTATTTTCGACTATATTCAACTTTGAACTCTCTGTAGGGCAAAACGCATTGAATATGTTTTCTGATTCCTTTCTGGAATCGTAAGGCATACCTAGAACTTCAAGAAGAATCTTTCGCAAATTTTGTGATTTTTCTGCACGATTTTTCTCGGTCCAAGAGTTCGAGAAGTGTTGACTTAGAGTTTTTGGGTGTTTTCTTGTTCAAATTTCCGTTCCCAAGATGGCAAATTAATCATATTTTCATGTTTTATTTATTTAATACGTATTTGATTATCGAGAACTTGGTAGTTTAACGTTCTTTTAGGTTCAAAAGTTAGGTGTTTTTAGATTTATCAGCTTTTTGCACAGAGAAATTTTCCTAGAAGATTTAACTGCAAAATTTTGAAAAATCTGTGAGAAGATGCAGAATTTTCCGGTGAATCTTCTGATGTTTTCAAAAATCTTATGGAATCTATTTTTGGATCAAGACAAATGTTTTTCTATTTTCAGTGTGTCGCAGTTCGACAACTTAGCACGCTTCAATATTTTGAATGGTGCTGAAACGAGAAAAATGCTTTCAGAGATTCAAATAGTAGGTTTTGTAGAGCTTGAAATTCTCTATCTTTTTGTATGTAAAGAAACTTCTAATTTTAAGAGAAAGTACGAAAAAAATGCAGTAACATTTAGTCCAGCTTATTATGGCACACTTGTTAACCAAGCAGAAATGTTTGATTACAGTTTCCAGCGTTTTCGATTAGATGGGGGGATTCCCCCACCTTGTTGGAAATAATTACTCCGTTCATTTTAAAAAATTTACTCCGAAAAGTTAAATGCCGGTTTTTTGGTTATTAATTAAATTTTTAGAGTTGCTCCATAAAATTTTTCTTTGTTGTTTCTGTTATAAACACTTTTGAACAAACTCGTTTCTTCAAAGCTTTTAGCACATTACGGAAAACCGGACCAGAGTTGATACTTCTGAAATATTTCTCATTTTGGATTGTCAAAGTTTAATGCTTAAACTTGTCTCTTAATCAATCTGACTATATTTAATCGATGATATCCCTGATAAAATTCTTTTCAATGGTTGAGATCTTGAGTTCAAGAAACGCAACAAATTTTATCTTATAGCTCAAGAAATCCAGTAATTTCAAGGATCCCTAACACTAAAACGCACAACTTTTAGGACGAAGAAAGCTCTCTCTGGATAGCTTCGTTTGAAACACCGATTTCATCATGTTTTATCCGGTTTTCTCTCAAGAACATGATGTAATCAAGGTGAACTATTTCACATTAAGAAGATGATTACACAGCAGTTTCATTTCTGCATGTTCGCTAGATCAGGCCAAATCTTGGCAAATAAACTATTTTCTTTTTCGTGAACTTGCTGAACATTTGTATATTTTTAGCGAGAAACTTTCTACCTAATTATTTTCACTTCTTGCCGTGTGTATTTCTCAATTCAACATATGATTAAAACTTCATCAAAAAATTCTTTTTTATTTTGAGATCTTTGCAAAGTCAGCATATTTAATAGTCCTTAAACAAAGGAAAATATTTAGGACTTGGCGCATTTTCTAAGAAAAAGGACTATTTTTCTGATAAGCAGAATGACCAGAGAAAAAGGCTTCAACTTTGTGATAACAGGACAGTACTAAATAAGAAGCATCTGTTTCTTCTCCTTTCTTGACAAATGTTAGCAAATGTCTGAAAGACAATCAGTACATGTATAACTCGAGTTCAATGTTTCTCGCTTATTTTTTCAAGTCAACATATTATTCTCCCATTTGAACCAGCACGCACATATATATGCCATTGACGTTGATTGTATCCATTGCAGGATTCCACTGTGAAAGTCTTGAATATTTTTACATGTCTCACTAGACAAAATTCTCGTGAATTTAACGGCAAGATTTGTTTTTAATTTGAATAAAAAATGAGTGAGAAACATTGAACTCGACTTATACATGTATTGATTGTCTATGAGACATTTGCTCACATTTGTCAAGAAAGAAGATGCTTCTTATTTGAGACGGCTCTGATAAAGTGGGGAGGATTATGTCTCTCGACTCTCTCATTATTTACTCAATTTGTGTAGTTCATCTAGTTTCTGTAATTTCATTTAGTTTTATCTGTCATGTAGACCTTCGAAATCGATGTAATATGCCTCGTTCCCGGAGACAACGCTCACACCTCCCTTCGGTCGCTGTTCGCTAGGGACTATCTGCAATCCGTTATGAATATTTCCCTGCTTTGATGTGTCAACTTCATAATGTAGTTTAAATCTATCAACGGTTTCTCGAGGCCCCCCAAAGAACTCGGTGGTCTAAAGCGGTCTAAAAATATTTCTAAGTTAGACTATTTTCAAAAGATAATTCGTCGACCATTTATTTACAGAGGTAAAGACTGATCTGATAAAGTAACTAACAATTCTTCTATTCTACTATCATTTGTTATTTTGTTTTTCCTTCTTGGCATTACGTTTTATGACAAATTTACTTTGCGCATTTGATACTAATTACTTTGAAATTTGATAATTTTCTATAGTAACTTGACTTTACAGAACTCAAAATAATCAGATTTTATTCAGCTTTTTTCGCTCTTCCAATTCATATACACATCAGATTTTCAAAACAGAAAACAGAGAAAACATTAGTCAAACAAAAAAATATGTTTTGTAGCGGATATGGAATGTATTTTTCGAGCTACTTTTGATAGAATTTGATACGTTCTTTGGTTTCCTCACCAAAATTCTCTAGTCCTTTTTAGAATTTACTTCTATTCTGTTATTTCTTCTCCTTCTCATCGTGTGTTTCTTTTATTTTAACGATCATCAGACGAACCATTTCGTATGTACGAATTTCATGTAGAAATAACATCTCTCTTTACAGTTCTTTGTACATTTTTCTGATGATGAACATCGACAGTTCGAATCCTTAAAAATAAAGTTAAAAAGTATTAACAATTCTATATAGTGCGTACTATACTTTATACATAATCGTCTCTAACAATACAAAAACAACATATTTTTTTACTAATTTTTCTTCGATTCAAAAGTTCTTTTGAGTTTAAACCAGCCCATATGGAGCTCTCTTAATCACTCGGCAAATAATAAAAAGAGTAGTATTTATGTTATTACTAAGCGAAGTAAATAATGGTATCATATATTGACATACATATGTCAATATATGACAAAGGATATGTACCCTTTGTTTGATTTCATCTTGTATTTTCTCGAATAAATAAAAATATCTAGCAGTCGTACAAAAGACAGTTTTTTAGAATAGCATTACAAATAATTTTTGTTTCATACTAGATTGACTGCGAATGAATAAATTCCATAAATTCACTGCTTATGCGGGCATTTTTTCGCTCTTTCAGTTCATATACGCATTAGATTTTCAAAATCAGAGAACAGAGAAGAACGTTGCTCATTTGTTCGAATCTCTATTAGTACAAAATTGATTTTGTATTTTTCGATAGTTTTAATTTAGAATACTATAATGGAATATTTTTCTGCTTGTGTTCTGACAGAATAAAGCTTGTATCAAACAGAGACAACATGAATCAAACAAAAAAATATGTTTCGTGACAAATTTTTCATAATTGTTTCGAGAGAAATGTTATATCTTGATTATTTTGAGCTTCCAAGCTGTAAAAAACTTGGATTTATGAATAACTTTGAATGTCCTATTCCATACACTCATGAAAACGATGGATCAACAATTTTTCTTCACAGTAGTACAAACTGTATCTAAATCATCTGTATCTCCACAGAGAGCTAATCCCATCATATGATGAAAAGAAAATGAGATGTGAACATTTTATCTTCATTTCCATTTTTTTCATAACAGAAAATACATTATTCTATTGCAAATCGATATATTAGCGTATAATGGAACAATTTATATTTCAAATCACATTCTTTTATTAACTGAAGTATATGCTTATTCCATTTTTTAAGGAAAAGAGCAATTTGAAAGTGGTGAAATTTCTAATATTTAGTAAGACTTGTTTTTTTTTTGTTAACTATTTGATAATGAATAGTCTTGTGAGAATAACACTTTTACAGTCACTCTATACTCAGTTATTTTAATGATTATACTACCGTTGATTCTCGTATTCTATGATGATCAACATAAGCCAGTATGTAATATACTGCATTTTAGAATAACGTCATGAGCAATGTTTTATATATATTTCCTTCATTTTTTATCTTAGTGACAAATTCTATTTTTCTCTCTTTCATACAGAGAACGAGACACGTGTTTGCTTTCTTCAATATATGCAGAGAATAGAAAAAAACTTTGTTTTGAGAATAATATATATTATACAGAAAGGTAAACATTGTGATGTTAAATGAATTTTTTGAAAAGGAAAAGAGAAAAGAACAGAATACATCACTTTTTCTATCATTTCTTTTTACTTTCAATAAGTATAAAATAAACTTCAAATGTTATATTAACTAATTTTTTCTCTTTTGCTGTAAATGGCAGTTGTTGATATTGTGGACGTAAACGTAGTTCTCAGAATCGACAGTGAATATGATGCATTTTTTTTTATTATTCACAACGCCTTCAACATATATATATATATATATGTATATATAAATTATACACAAAAACATTTTCGAATTATTAAAAGTACGAATAATGAGTATTGACTTGAAATACATTAAGTATGATAAATTTGAGGTAATGTCTTTGAATCATAGAGCAAAGTTTGAAGAAAAGATTCCATTAGTTGGTAAACATGTGTTCTAACATCGATCTTCACCACTTTTATGGAGTGATAAGGTATTCGAGATAGACGAGCGATTGGAAGAAAAAGTTTTCAAATACAGCCACACTGTAGGTTTCAGCTAGACTTATGGGGATGATAAAATGGTTTTGAATGGTTGAAAGAAAATGCGGCAGTTTTGTTTCTTTGCTGAAAACTTGAAATTCTCGACGAAATACATCTTACAAGATATGATGGTGTCTTATAGAATTTTATAATAAGATCATATGAAGTTTTGTTAAATGTTCTTATAAGATCATGCAAACAGTGATGATTCGCCGTACCACAGAAATATTTGCTAGGATATATAGTACATATATACTGTTCTGATATTTAAACATTAAACTTTTCTTTTTTCTTCCACTTCACACGTCAATTGTGCACAGAAATAAAGTGTATGATTCAAAAAATGTGTCTACGCACGATCTCAGGACATCATGAGTCTCCTATTTATGCTAGACAATATCAATAAAGAGGATTTGAAGTTCTTAGCTGAGACTGTAATTAATAGTAACTTTCTTAGAGAAATGCGAGAAACAATTCAGAAAAGTTTAATTAAAAATGGAAATAAGTAAGACAAAGGAAAAGGAAAAGTTTACAAAAATATTAGTAATATTACATTGGACAAGTATTATCGAAAAAGTTCACGAGTTTTAGGAAAATACATAGCTGAAACGTATGTGTCATAAATGCTCTGACTTGCCTGAAGAAAACGTAATGAAATTTTTCTCTTTTTTACCAAACGTGTAGTCTGACCGAACACAATCGTTCCTTTATAAGAGAAATTTTCCGAATAAAAGAACAGGATTGTTCTGTTTTGGGGAACAGAAGTTTCAATTGGTATTTGGATATGTAAGCCGTATGTGACGGGTATGTGTACCGCATTTTTTTCAGTATTAATACTGCTTTTCTCGCCTTGCATTTCACTCACTCTCTCTCTATCTATGTTGATATTAAGAAATGTAATCGGAATAAGTCGGTCATTAAACAGGAGACGGATGAAGTTTTCCATTGATTGGATAATAGATCAAGTTAAAATACGTCATCCTTATATTGTGCATGTTTGCTACCGTGTTAATTTTACAATACTTTTCTTTTTTGTTCAATACAGGTGACAATATAAAGTTCTCAGCTTTCTATTTTGCTTATTCTTTGTCGATGCGGAATGTATGTTTCATAATAAAATTTGATATACGATCAAGTGATATATTAATTAACCGCTCACTGTCCTTATGTGATTTGTTGATATATTATGTATTTCATTTCGCAAACATAAAATTTTGAAAGAGTGAACGTTGGAATGAGATATGATCAAAGAGACTCTCAGATTACGTGATAGACTTTGCTGATTGAATTTAGTTCGTTACTTCTTAAGATCTTGATATACTGTTAAGTTCAGCTCCTGATGTGATGTAGTAGTGTTTGTCTGCTATCAGTGTAGCATTTTCCATATTCTCTCTCTAACTATTTTACTTAGTATTCAAATCTTAGAACGTCCAGTACTTTTCTTTTTCTTATTTTTTGTTACTCCATTTTCGTACGCATATGTCATAAACATTGGCTGCAAAGACAAGAGAATAAAAATGAAAAATAAAGAGTCGCCTGAATCTTTCATTTTATAAACTGGAAAGAAAAGAAACTTTCACTATACTAAATGCACTAACATGCTAAAGGAGATTAAACGCTAGTAGATTAGAAAAAGAAGCTCAAATGTTTCATACGGTTTCCATTTCAAAAAGAACTGTAGTCCCGTTCAAAATCTTATGTTTGCGAAATGAAATACATAATATATCAACAAATCACAAAAGGACAATGAGCGGTTTCCAGTTCAAAAAAAACTGTAATTCTCGTTCGCGAAACCAGAACTGGTGAACCATTCCTAGGAACATGAACTGCTGAACCGTTCCTAGTTCAGAACGGAAGCTGAAAAACCGTTCCCGTTTATTGAACGGGAATTGCCTACTGTCACAGGCCGAGTCCGGCTCTGTTTAATTATATCTCTATTTATGTTAAATGTAATCGGAATAAGTCGGTCATTCAACGGGAGACGGATGACTAAAACGTTTTCCATTTAGCAGCGATGATAAGATGCTGCTTGGGTAATAGATCAAGTTAAAGTACGTCATCCTTATACTGTGCATGTTTGCCACCGTGTTGATTTTACAATACTTTTCTTTTTTGTTCAATACAAGTAACAATATAAAGTTCTCAGCTTTCTATTTTGCTTATTCTTTGTCGATGCGGAATGTATGTTTAATAATAAACTTTCATATACGATCAAGTGGCGCGTGACTTTTAAGCTCCAGAACTATCGTTCGATCAACTAAATAGTTGCATATATATTATAGTACAAAATATTTTTATGAAAAAAATAGCAAAAAAAATTGAGAAGAATGAGAGCTCATGTGTGTAATTCATCCTGTTTAATGTCTCACTCTAGTCTAGATAATTTTTTACTATTTGAAGTAAACAGAATGAAAAAAAAAAGAATGACTGAGGCGAGGATAAGCATCGGTTCATTATAGGAAACTACTTTAATGACATCAAATAGAACATTTTATTGTGCATACTGAAATTTTAACTATTTTAGATTTTTTATTGATAAAAATTTTGAAAAATGGCACATGGTAAAGGACGTGGCGGAATGGCCTGTTGCATGAAATTTGGTCGATTTATTATGGTGACAGTTAATATTTTATTTGTCGTAAGTCTGTTTCATCAATAATTTCATTTGAAGATTTTATAGCTGCAAAACCGACGACTGTCATCCATGAATCAATCGTCTTACACTCACAAATCTCCATTCACCTCTTGCTGCAAGAAAAATAGAGTCTAAAAGTATATGAGTTATTTTAATTACTTTAGCTAATTGGTATAGCTCTTCTTGCTCTTGGCATTTATGTTATGGTTGATCCAAAATTTCAAAAAATCAAAACTCTATTACCGATCACTGGCGGTAAGTTATTATTTGTTGTTAATTTTTAAAACGAGAAATAAAGACCTTGTATTAAATTCAGATCCAAATGTTCAACAGGGCTTATCATACATTGAAATGATTGGTATTGTCGTCATTGTTTTCGGTGGCGTTCTTCTTATTCTTGGTTTCTTGGGTTGCTGTGGAACAATCCGACAATATAAATGGATGCTCACACTGGTATATATTATTCGTTTTATTAGTGAATAGTTAGTAGTTGTTTTTTTTCGTTCTTTTTGTGCAGTACGCCATTATCATCGGAGCAATTATTCTGGCTGAAGTGGCTATGACGATATATTTTGTCGCATTTCAATCAAAATTCGCAGATGTATTTATACCAAAACTTCAAGCATCCATCCGTGACAATTACAATGGTCCGCCAATATTTAACAATACACCAAGTGCTGCTAGTTTAGCATGGGATTTTGTAATGTATAATGTAAGTTTGTAGTTGAATTTGAATAACCATTCACTAGCCTTACAAACATTTAGCTACAATGTTGTGGTGCCAACAATAGAGAAGATTTTAATAATACTCCAAAATGGAATAAAACTGATCCATTTAATTCAACACAAAACTTTCTTTATCCGTTAACATGTTGTCCGTTAGCAAATTACCAGCAAGACTGGAACACACTGTCACAAAACATACTTCACCAAGGAGAAACGTGTGCTGTTCAAGGAAATGGCACATTTTCCTCGGTAAGTAACTTCTTTTAGTTAGTTGATGATAAATTATTTGCTTTATGTTCTTATTCGTCAGGGTTGTTACGGTAAATTAATGGATTTAATTGGCTCATACAAGACGTATATTATTATTGGAGCCGTTATTATTCTTGTCATAGAGGTAAGTTGAAGAAAATTCCATTAGATTTCATAATTTATCCATATTTTTTAGCTACTGGCATTTATATTTGCAATAACGCTATGTTGTCGTAAACGAAGGCAAGATAGATATTCATCGTAATCCTTCAAGAGGAAGAAAGAATCAACACTTAATGTTACATACGAATCTAATCTCATTGCATCATCTCTTTTCACTTTTTTTCATTTATTTATACTATCTTTTCTCTTTCATCCGTCTAATTACTCATCATCAAACATTTTGGGATTTTATACTCTCTCATATGTTCTTACAATGCATTCCGATAACGACATATCAAAGAATGAATGAATGATTCACGACGTCTTTAAGACCAATCGTAGTGGCCGTACATATAAATAATTGAATTATAGTTTTTATGTTATTTCTCTACTTTTTTTCGTTATTTTATTTTGTTTGCGGCTACTTAAGTATACGTGCTTAAATGTGTGAATGTCTATCTCTAAAATGTAAGCTAAAAATACTGTGACAACAAGTATTATTTTTACAATGCTTTTTTTCATTTCTCTATTTTTTCTTTATCAGGCGTATAAAATCATGCCAAAAAAATTAAATTCTAACCATCGCTGTTATACCAACATTCAACCGCGTCTGATGTGTTTAACTCAGGATCACCATGGAACGAAAAGAAGCAATAAGCACTGATTGAAAAAGACGAATTATATAACGTGTTACAGCGATAAAACTATACGTTTTTATCTACCTAAATTTGTTCGGGTATAAATAAATGCTTGCTAATGCCCTCTTTGTCAGAAATTTATTTCCGTCGCAGGACATTGGACATTGATAAAATTTTCATTAGAATGTTTGACTTATCCTAGAAAGATTACACTAAACTTTTGAATCTGAAATGTTGAGTTTTTTTCGAGTTATCCCTAAAAATAATGGGTATAATGGACGAATGATAAAGATTTTTCCGCCATTCTAAGCTCTGAAAACGCTGGACGACCTGTTCATGCAACGCGACACTTCGCTGATCAAGTTTTTTGAAAAGTATTTTAGAGTAGAGCGGAAAGGAGCATATCACCGGATGGTATTTTTGGTGCTGATTAGGAATCGCACATTATTTTTGTAAAAAAGTTAAATCTTGGCACTAAAAATCTAGTTTTACATTTTTTGAAAACTGTATTTTCAATTTCCTCACCTAGATACTTTTCCTAATGAAAATGCAGGGCCGCACTAATCGATAGAGAATTCGATTCTCTATAAGATGTATGTTTCTTTTGAAGTTTAGACTCAAAACAAGCTTTTTAATAAAGTTTTAAGATTCTCACACAATTCTAAGAAAGTGAAAACTTTTTCTCAGCTTTGTTTTCACGTTAGTCTATATTAGATGCCTAAAACTAACGAGGGAACCTTTCCAGATGTTCGACCGCTTTTCTAATCAAATGCGATAGTTTATAGGTGATCGACCATGCTGATTCTGAATATGATAGCCGTTTTTGCCCACAGATCTTTTCTAATCGGTTTCTGAAGAAACCTCGAAAAATACCCAAGAATTTTTCTAAATAAGTTACGAGTGTAGCCCGCGAAATTCTGATTAAAATGAGACATCAGCCACCTCTACACAACCTTTCTTTGCAGAGTTATAGAATTTACAAAAAAGCCCTAAATGTGTATTGTCACCTCAGAGCTACAGAAAGAAGAAGGAAAGATGAATTTAGGGCTTTTCTTGTGAATTTAGAAAAATTCTTGGGGATTATTCGAGGTTTCTGGAAAACCAGTTTTCCAGAAACCGGTTAGGAAAGACCTACGGGCAAAAAGGGACATCATATTCGGAATTAGCATGGTCGATTACCTATAAACTACCGCATTCCGTTAGAAAAGCGGTTGGACACCTGGAAAGATTCCCTCGTAAGTCCGATGTGAAAGTGAAATCCTTTGAGCAATGTTTAGTGCTCCAAACTTTGTTGGGAAAAAAGTGTGTCACAGCGTCACGACGATAAAACACCATTATTGAGGGATGGAAAGCTTATTGGAAAGATTCCTTTTTTAGCAATCAGTAGCTCGTTTGCTCTTCTACAAACTTTGCTCGAGGTACTTTTTATTAGCTCCTCTAAATTCGCTGTTAACGAGAACTTCGAATTTAGGGCCTTTTTTTGTCACAGCGTCAAGCGCCGAAAGACGGTTCTAAAAATTCGAGTCTTTAACCACATACATTAATTGTTATACCACAAGTATAGCTGCGTCGAATGGCGCAAGAACGAAGTTTCTAGCTCCTACACTTTTTGAGAAAAGGTCAAATTACTGTGTCAAAAATGTCACAGCGTCACGCTTGGACAAGTCGTGTAGTGATTTCGAATTGTGGACAAGACTTGACCCTACAACTTAATAGAACAAGAATGCTTAAAATTTTTGTTTTAGTTTTCTAAAAGCTTCTATCAATAAAGTTGGGAAATGTTTCTCCAAAGTTTTCGGAATATTTCGCGTTTCTCACAAAGTGGACTAAAAATAATAAGTCCGGCTTAGGCCTGGGATAACTCATAGTTCCTTGTACTGCAGTTTCTCGATACAGAAACTCAATAAACGGGAATGGTTTTTCAGTTTCCGTTCTGAACTAGGAACGGTTCATCAGTTCTGGTTTCGCGAACGGAAACTATATTCTTTTTAAACTGGAAACTGCTCACTGTCCTTTTGTGATTTGTTGATATATTATGTATTTCATTTCGCAAACATAAAATTTTGAAAGAGTGAACGTTGGAATGAGATATGATCAAAGAGACTCTCAGATTACGTGATAGACTTTGCTGATTGAATTTAGTTCGTTACTTCTTAAGATCTTGATATACTGTTAAGTTCAGCTCCTGATGTGATGTAGTAGTGTTTGTCTGCTATCAGTGTAGCATTTTCCATATTCTCTCTCTAACTATTTTACTTAGTATTCAAATCTTAGAACGTCCAGTACTTTTCTTTTTCTTATTTTTTGTTACTCCATTTTCGTACGCATATGTCATAAACATTGGTTGCAAAGACAAGAGAACAATACATAATATATCAACAAATCACAAAAGGACAATGAGCTGTTTCCAGTTCAAAAAAAACGGTAATTCTCGTTCGCGAAACCAGAACTGTGAACCGTTTCTAGTTCAGAACGGAAACTGAAAAACCGTTCCCGTTTATTGAACGGGAATTGCCTACTGTCACAGGCCTAGTCCGGCTCTGTTTAATTATATCTCCAAGTTATGACTACAACTTAACGACTTATTCACGCAACGCGATACTTCGCTGATCAAGTTTTCTTGAATTTTTTTCATCGGAAATCGATAGGACACACCACTAGACGCAACTTTTCATGCTGATCATGAATGTAACTTTCCTCTGAAGAAAAAATTAATTTTCAATATAAAAGGTTTAATTTCAATTTTCGGATCTAGATATTTTGTTCAAAAAATTTTAAAAACTTACTGTTTAATAGAGAGTTCAGTTCGGTGCGAAATAGCTTATTTTGTTTTGAGATCTATGTTTCAGTCGAAACACAGTGGCTACTTGAACGTTTCAACTTCCGCCATGGTGTGGAAGTCTCAGAGAATTTTTCGAACTTTATTTTCAACTGGAATCTTTCAGGAAACCTAGAACTACACGGACTATAAGTATGAAGTTTTTGAACAACGTTTAGTGTCTAAAAATGGTGAGACAAAAAAGTGTGTCACAGCGTTACTTTACAAAATCGGTTTTTCTAAGCGGATTGAAAAAACATTTTTTTCAAGATTTCCAAAAAACTTCTTCTGAAACCATGAAAATATGTTTTTAGTGCAGAAGAAATGCAAATTCTGAAAGTACACTATGGTTAGTATTTTGTACACTTACCAAATGAACTTATACCTAGTCGAATCATGATTGATCACTGCCATTATCTAAGTCTAATCAGTCGTATAAAAAGCGCTAATCATCATGATTCAGAAATTGTTCCATATGCTCAATATCGGCAAAATACCGCCGATTCCGGACGGTATACCTTGAGGTTACCCCTATGTGAATACAAAAATAATCGTTCGGTTACCGCTATTTTCTTAAACCTATTTTTCTCATTATGACAATTTTTACAAGACCGAGTGTTGTCGAACACCGCGCGGTTACCGGTGGTATTCTAAAAAAAGCATGATATGGGATTACGGTTATTCAGAAGTTTATCATAAAGAAGGTATTAAAATTCTAATCGGACAACAACAATTCAATGTACATGTTCAACAACGAATTATACTAGATGAATTAAATTAAACGTTAAAATTTCTTGCTTAAACTTGCGATATAATAATAAAAACGATTAACTGATATTCTCGAAAAACATTTAGTATTTAGACAGGATTCCTTAACACCCTCGATCCTCTCATTTTTTTTTCATTTTTCGACTGATGATGTTATGAGTTCATAATGGAACGTTTCTAATAAAATGATAAAAACGGTGTCAGTTATTCTCTTATATATACTATAAGTACGTGTAGTATTAAAACCTGTACACTTTAACTTAACATAATACACGCTGAAAAAAATACTACAAACATCTATAATTCAATTCTAAAATTTAGTCATGTATGTGGTATGAAGAAAGAGACAAAAGACAAGTAAAGCTGTGTATAACCTGACTAAGAATAAGTAAAAGTACAGAGAATGAACAACAACGAAATATATAACAGAATGAATCATGCAAGAAGAAAAAGAAAGGTTTTCTCAATTGCTTCTTGTCCGATGTCTTCTTTTCATACACTGTTTTAGTAACGGGTGCTTCAGAAGAAATTGTCCTGTTGCTATTTTGGTGTTTTCGCCCATCTCTTCTACCGATTTGAGCTGGTTCTTTCTGCAAAAGATGTACCTTGAAATTCTCTACAAAATCATACGTTTTATTTAACGTAAATAGTTTCCATCATTTTTTAAAATATCATACAATCTTTTACTGAAATCATCAAACTTCCTATCTACCAGTACACATCTTTGGGAATCTCAAAATGCTATGGAAAATAGGTAATCAACTACGCTGACCATAGTGGTAGCATTTGTTTTCGTGTAGCAATGAATATAACTTCGCCAGAGGCATTTTTATGAAAAACCGGTTTTTCGCCTGTTACTAGGAAAAATTAAAGTCCTTA